AATGCTGGTGAAGTTACCCAAGGTTTTGCTGCTGCAATAAAATGTGGTCTCACCAAAGAATTACTTGATGAAACAATTGGTATCCATCCAACTTGTGGAGAGGTAAGGGAAGGAGAGGGCACAGCTTGATTTAAAACCTGCTTTTGAAAATGGTTACCTAGATGCAAGGAAAGAATACTACATTGTATTTTGAGATTTTAGTATTTGCTTAACTTATAGTTAGAAGTTCTTGACATGTGATAGAAAATGTGTTAATTTGCGCTGCAATTTCTTTTCCGTTGTAACAGTGCAAAGAAATCTAGTATTGTTACTTTACAAGGGGAGACCAGTAGGCATGTGGATGATGATACAGAGCAACAGTAAATAAGCTGTTCTTTTGGTGTCTTACAGGTGTTCACTACAATGGATATTACAAAATCTTCAGGACAAGACATCACTCAAAGGGGCTGCTGAGGTTAAACCTGCTGTTTTACATGTTTTCATGTTGTGCATGCTTGGTTCTGTGGAAGCCCTAATACATCCAACTTCTTTGCAGCAAAATAAACATTTGCATCAGTACCACTGCATGTACTGCAGCTCGGAGTGGTGCCTTTGTGAGGCTTCCTCAGTAAATAGTGTTGCAAACGGAAACAGTAATACAGCAGGGAAATATTGAACTGTAAATCCTGACTTTGTTTGGTATCAGCACTACTGTGCTTTTTTGATGTTCTGGCTCGGAACCTTATTGTGAGGTGAGCTACGACTGATGGCTGCCATGCAATGTTGGGAGATCTCTTCGTCCGGTCAGATGACTGAACTCTTCCTGAAGGAAATTCTTAGTTGCACAAATTAAAGCTAATGCTTCTAGGCTCCAGTGTCTTGTACAAATGCCTGAGATGGAGGGCAAAAATATAATTGAATGATTCTTGCCAACAGTTTACAGTTGACTGATTTATCTTTTGTGATGCATTTTGTTTTACTTAATGGTATATTCAGTTGAGGTGAGATGGCACAAATAGGATGCAATGTTGAGCAGTGCAGTTCAAGCACTAGTCTCCCACCTCAACCAGTCTAAAACTTCAAAGTAATCTAAGACATTGCTGTTGTTCACATTCATAGTTGTTTGACCTCAGGTGACACCATGTCTTCAAGATAAAAATTTCAGTTGTAGGCATCTTGTGTGTCAGGGTTGAAGAGCATAAGCGCAAGACCTTGTCAATTTGTTCTTGTTGTTTATGACTATATTTAGTGCTAATAGTCTCAAATCTGGTTTCAGCTCAGTAATGTAAAACATCACAGAACCCAGAACTGTAAGTCTGTACTCTTATGTGGAGTATTGAAGTCAGCAGGGTCTGAGAGCAATCCGTCCCACTAATGTAGTAGGTGCCTGCCCATGATGGTAGTAAGCGTTGTATGGAATTTTTGAAGTGTGTGTTGCAGCAGAGAACAATGACTTGGTGGGCTATCATGCTTTGTGTAGTGTTGTGTACAGTCAGTACTCGGAAGCTTTCTTCCACCCCTAGCATTCTGGTCTGGGGGAATTGTGCTTCAATTTGGCTCTTAGTTTTGTCCAAAGAGATGTTTTGAAAGACTATTCTGAACATTGTATGATAGTAAACAAACAGTTTTTAACTATTTAACCTATGATGTACCATGGAATTTGAAGTTCAATAAACAACACATACAGCACTGTGGTGTCTGACCTCATGGTTTATGTTATCACATACTTGAGAGTTTCTTGTGCTTCGATTATATTGTTTATCACATGTAATAATAAAAGCTCTATAGACTTGTGCATGCTGTAATCTTTCAAATGGAGAAACAAGTTTTCTTGACACATCTGGGGGCTTGCTCAAGAAATCTAATGTGCTTCTATTTCAGTATGCAGAATTCTCTCTATTCAACCTGAGAGAACAACTTTATGCCACTTCTGTGTATCCCAGAAGATCGTAAGCATGTATGTTGTAGTGTTTAACTGCAACATAGCTGAAAGATGCTCAGTAGAATCTAGCTAGAATGTAAGCAACAAATCTTGCTGGTGTTCAAATTTAATAACTCTTGAAGACTTTGAGGTTTTGCTGTGGGTGCCTAGTAGTACTGCAAAATATTTTCACTTGACAATGGGGACATTTGCTGAGCTTCTGTGTTGCTTTGCTGCAGAGCTCTGGGGAGTTACTTGTTCTGGTCTGTCGTAGACATATTTGATAAAGCCACCTGCTTGCTATCACTTCTGCAGCAGTGACCTTTAAGAGTGGCACTGCCAAAACCTTGCGTGCCTGAAAGTTTGCCTCTTAATAGGTCAGATGTTACAGTTCGAAGTAAAGTAGGCATAATAGTAGTGTAGAAGTGACCTTAATCTCTAAGTTGAAGTGGATGAACCAGAGACTCATCTGAGCTCTTTCAAAAAGTCGGGGTGATTAGGGTGGACAGCTAGTAGCAGGTAATATGTTACAGACTTTGCACAATCTCAACAGCTGAAATGGAACTTAGTAAACAATAAAGCATTCAGAAGGCTTTATATCATGAGAAACTGACTGGTAATGGCAAAGTTTACCTTGAGTAGCCATGTTATAGAGGAAGTGAAGGAGGAAGCAAATCAAGTCAATGAATGATAACTTCCTGAATTTACTATTAGTAAGTACTAATTGGGTTTTATTTCAAATTCAGATTTGATTTGCAGGTTCAAGTTAATTGATTCAAGTAATTACCACTTGCGTATCTGTAACAGTGTACTAATTGTAGATGTTCCTTATGTCAAACTTGCCAGGCTGTCAGCTCTTTCTAAGTGATACTTTAGAAGCATTGAGCACTCTATACAGTTAGTCTTTTAAGCTTTAAAACCTCCAGTTAAAATATACAATAAGTAGCTAATAGCAAGAGCAGTATTTTAAGTGAACATGTTGCTTGTGTTCGATAGGCTCATGTGTAAAGTAAAAGGTGCCATGACAACAAGACATAGTTAAAAGCCAGAATTTTAAGCTTGACAGTAGGTGTTAGAGAAAAAGGTAGAATCTCAGAAGTAAAAACCTGTAACAGCCAAGTAAATACCCCTGAATATAGAGTCTGACACTGTTTCTCCAATCTTTTTTTTTTTTGTTTGTTTGGTCTGAGTTAAATAAGTAGAATGGCTTCCTGCTCCAGTCTTTTCTAAAGTATCTTAAGTATTCTACACCTGGAGTCTAGCTGTTGTGTGACCCTAAATGCTCAAGTTGTCAGTTCTCCCACATATTGGGGCCATGTTTTCTCATTCTCAAAGCCCTCTTTTGCCCAGCACCTTTCAGGCTTGTTGTATCTTAGTAATGTGTTATTTGTAAAACTGAAAATAAATTTAAAAAATTGCAGGCCCGGTATAGGGGCCAAGTGTGGGGAGAATTTCCTGATGCAGTTCTGAAAAGACTTTGAGACAGCTTTTGCCTGTTTCATTATGTTGCAGTTTCTGCAGTTTCTCCAGTTTCTGCTGGTCTGCCCTCTGACAAGAAACTTATGGGGAATGATGTACATTCGGTGCAATGAGGTGTAACAGCTGGGTTAGCTTGATAAAAAAACTGTGAGAAACAGACATCAGTTTACGCAAGCTGATTAAATGATCCTCTATAGGCCAAGTAACTGCAGGCAGTGAACACTAGCACTTTCTCTGTATGTATTTGTTTGCTTGAGCAACGAGTAGACATTTAAAACTACAGGGAGAGTCTTTTGATTGTTATGCTACATAAGTAGCATTTAAATAAGTATCTGCTTATGGTTGTCTTCAGTTTTCAAGCTCGCTTTGATGGAAACTCAGCTAGTGCAGGTCTAACTGGCTTTAGAATGCTCTAAAACAATCTCCCCTCTAGCTGACAAGGAACAGATGCCTTGTCCTGAAACTCATTTGCTCCAAATCATTAGTGAGTTTGGGTAGTACAGACACTCAAGCAGTGGCATTAAAGGCAAAATGGTGTGTTTACAGTTCTGTTGTCATAAATGTTGTTCACCAAATTCTGAAGGGGTGTTCTGTGTCCTTAAAATACTCTGATACTTATTCATACTGTAATATCAGGAACCTTTTATAGGCTGCAGTTGAAAATACTCAGTTGCTTACTGAATCTGCTCTTAGCTGAAGCAATGTTTTGTCTAGATCACTGATAATTATGGCACTCTATCTGGACTGTAGCTCTTGAAACAGTGGATAAACAGCAAAGCTGTGTGGTTTTTTTAACTTATTGGTGAAATTTATCCTTTCCAGGCCTAGGAGTGGTTATAATTATTGTAAACATAGAAAACACTTAATCATCAAATTAGTAGATGGCTTTCCACATAGCATGAATTTTAATTATATTTTCAACACTGTAATTTGTCTTGAGTAACATGAGCAGCTAGTTGGCCTGTGCAAGAACTGTGGGAGCAAGTCAGAGACAAAAGGGGGAGCTGAATATTCTGTAATAAGCCTTGAAATGCCAGAATAAGACACGAAAGATTTTTCCTGTATAACTGTACTATTTAAAGCTTCGGATTCTCACTATTCCCCTTAGAGTGGCTTTTGACAAAGACTTGAGGTGTTTACCTTTTTTCAACACAGCTCAAATACTGGAAGAAAAGAAAACTGAAAAATAACTTTTTTTAGTTCTAAACCGGAATTCCTATATGTTTAAATCTTGTGCTTGTCAAGCCTCCCCCGAATATTGGCAAAGGAAAAATTCATGGATGTGCCTTAGAAGAGGTGGGAACAGCAGAGGAAGGAAAGGTCAAGTGTTTTAACTAAAAATAAACAGTGGATCTAATGAACCAAACCACTTTTCTGTGGGTTTGCAGCACTACATAATCTATTCTCAAGGTTGTAATTCAAGTAAATGAAGAGACAGGTTAAGAACTCCTTAAATGACCTTTTTTAATTGACAGTACACAGTGAGTATGTGTTGTGTGTGATTGAACATCTTCACCTCCATTGAGGTATATGAGCTCACAATTTGGAGCGGAGATGCGTAGTTTCCAGTGCTGCCTCTAAAAATAGCAACCATCCTCCACGATAATTTCCTTGCATGGCAAAAGCAGGAGCAGTCCTGTGCTCAAGAGTGTTACAATGACGAGACGTTTGGGAGGCAGCACTGATTGCTTGTTGACCAGAAGGCAGGTTAGAAAATACCATTTGTTTATTTTGCAGAGCCAATGTCACTGGTCTGCTGGTTATTTGTACTTCCTTTTGGAACAGCAAATATGACTTAGTCAAGTTTGTGTGCGCATTGTGGTGCTTGGTCTGCAAGGGGAGAAATTACCAAATTACCAAAACCAGCTGTATATGTATCTGCAGCAGATATATCTGGGTAGGGAAGAAAAGAATGACTGTCTTATCTAGAGGTTGAAGTAGACATAGCAGTTCTTGGAGGATTTTTTAAGCTATAGTATTTTCTACTAGCTTTTTCTTTAAATAACTTGCCGCTCTTATGATGCTTACAGTCCAAACTTGATGGTGATGAAAATTTAAGAAGTTTACCTTTGATTTCTAAATAGAAAAAGTTGTCTTAAATCAGTTTAGCAGCTTTGTTGTTTTGTCCACTGAAAGGACAAAAGTGCTATTTCTATAGCTAACTTGGTTAAAAATAACTTATTGCAGTCGCCTATTTTTTCTGAAATACAAGAGTAGGGGGGTCTCTGTACGTACAATGTCCTACAAGGAATTCTGTCTTCAAAGAAATTCACTTTGTCTCCCTTTCCCACTACACCCTGCCGAGTCCCCAGCTGTGACTGATTTGACTCATCTGTTTCTGCTGCTCTGAGTAGTGTGCCTGCTAACTGTAGGTATGTGTAAGTTGTAACTAAGTGGACTGAGAACCGAGGTTTTGTGAGCCTAAAAGTGTCTGGAGAAGAAACTCCCTTTAAGTAGTACTTACACTGTTGTTGCTGTTTGCTTTTAACAGAGGCTGATAGTTGTGGGTAGATGCTGGCATGGTTCACCACCTTGCCTTGTAAAAATGTGACTCTTGGAAACCTGGCACTGATTTCTTTACGTAATCTTCCCTTTGACATGCTCTGACTTGGAGCTTGCATGGTGTGTGGGCGGAGGGCAATTTAGAGCACTGATCGGGTCTGAACTATTGCAGATGGTGATTGAGTGAGTGGACTAGGAAGCAAAGATTTTACTATGTGCTGTTCCCTCCCTTTGCAGGCAGAATTTCCCTCGGCCTGATTCACTCTGTTCTTCTACCTGTCTATCCCCCTTGACAAAGATTATTGCCTACCCTGTGGGATACAAGATCTTCCTAGTCTCTCTCCCCAGATAAGAGACCCCATACTTTCCCTGGAGCAAATACCTCTACAAAACTGCCCTAATTCTCTTCCCCTTCCTCTGTCACTTTCCAGGCTTTCAATTACAGCTGTCACCTCCCCATTGCATTTTTATTGCTCTTGAATGTTAATTTTATTGACCTTTGACAATTCCCTCCCTCCTCCCAGCTGAGGGACAAGCTTTAGAAGGATTATTCCTCTTGAAGGTGATTAAAGGTGCTCCTTGATTGCCAGATTGGCTTCTCCATAACATTCAAGGTCTCTGCTGAGCCAGAGAAGCGGAGGAAGAAAGCTTGGGAAACAGGCCAACTGCCTCCTGTGCTGGATGAAGCACCATTAAACAGCCCCGTCCTTTCAGGCTCCGATTTGTCTCCCGCCTTTAGTAAAGGAGTTGAGTTTCTGAATCGGGAAGCCTAAGATTCTGCTGTTGAGATGTGCACGTTCTGCAGGGGCTTAAGTTCACCTCACTGATCCTGACCTCAGTCAGCAGTAAATGCACACTTTTAAAACGTGTTTGTGTCTTGTACATGGGTTTGCTTATCTGGGCAGTGACAGTAAAGGTTAGAACTTTGCTTTGTCTTGCGTCTGTGGTGTGACTGTGTTGATTACTTAACATCTCTGAGGATAAGTATATATTGCATGAGTGAGAGGATGACTGACGTTTGCACAGCATTTTAAAGTTATAAAATGAGATGTGTTAAGAGCAATGTCACTGACAGGATCTGTTTGCAGATCTGTTTCTGGCTGATCGCCAGCTGTTGTTAGGCCTTGTTAGGGCCCCTGTGAGAAGCTGAGTCCCTAGACTTCCCTATTCAAATTCTTACAAAGGTGGGGTGGGTTAACATTGGCTGGCCACCGGGTGCCCACCAAGCTGCTCTCCCACTCTACCTCCTCAGCAGGACAGGCTAAGAAAATGCAATGAAAAAGCTCATGGGTTGAGATAAGGACAGGGAGACCACTCACCAATTACTGTCGCAGGCAAAACAGACTTGACTTGGGGAAAACTAATTTAATTTATTGCCAATTGATACCAGAGTAAGATAGTGAGAAATAAAAAGAAAACTAAACCCACCTTCTTCCCCAGCTCAACTTCACTCCCAACTCTCCTACCTCCTTCTCAGTGGCACAGGGGGATGGGGGGTTGTGGTCAGGTCATAACACTTCATCTCCACTGCTCCTTCCTCACGCTGTTCCCCTGCTCCAGCGTGGGGTCCCTCCCAGGGGATACAGTCCTTCACAAACTTCCCCAACGTGGGTCCTTCCCACAGGCACTTAGGGTTACACTTTTGCCTCTAATCCCTTTTCTAATATCAGGTACAAATAAGTAGTTGATGCTTTTGAGCTGTGATTTTATGGTTTGGCACTTTTCCTGTGGTCCTGCTACTGTCCACGAAATAGCATTAGTAGGGCAGAGCTGTTACGCTTAGTATCACACCATCTATGCATTGCTGTAGTATTTCAAGAGTCTGTACTTGTAATCAGGGATTAAACTATCTTTGCAATTCACCCCAGTGGCATATGATAGCAAGCATAGATTGCTCCTAAAAATTGCAGAAGATTATTGAGCCTTGAGTTACTTCCTTCCAGTACAGTAGGAAAGACAGCTGTATTTGTCAGACATCGAGAAATCACTACATCTCAAAATTCAAATAGTTCTGAAGATGAGTTCCTGAGTAGAGTTTGGGCATACTTTCCTTATGTGTTTGTTTTCTTCTGTTCTGAAAAAAAAAAAGAAAAGGATGGGTTTCAGCACACTTCTTGTTACCACTAATATTTTTTTAGTGATTTTTATGTATAATAAAATACAAGATTAAAAAAACCAATTTTTTTGTCATCTCTAAACCTAACAAACTGGATTAGTTGCTCACGCTTGTGCATACCCTTATAAATATCTGTTACATTGTTTTACTTGGGATTTTTTTTTTTTAAATTTCATAGCTGAAGGAAATGGAAGCAGGGAGGGGAAACCATAAGGCAAAGAATTTATTTAAATGCAACTGTCCTCCAAAGCCTTTTGATTTGTGTCAGGAAGCAAGCAATACAATATGCAGTAGAGAGGGGCCATGTTAATCTCTGACTTTGGTCAGCATCGTGGCCTTTTTCACAGTCGTACCGGAGGCAGCACTGTGGAATTGCCCATCACTGCCTCCTCTGGTGGAGGTGACTTGGTGGGCTAAGCTATATGGAGTGCTCACCTTGCTGCTTTTTCATTGCTTCTGTGCTGTAGGTAGATGATTAATACCCTGAAGATCAAAATCGTTTTTCCAGCTAGCCCTAAAAATAGTAACATACAGTTAAAAACTTAATGATTTTCACAGTGAAATATAAAAATGTCAAGGTAATTCTTATATTAAATTGGTGTTTTATTCTTGTGGTTTCCTAAGTCATCCTTTATTAGAGTGATGATACTTTAAATGTCTTCATTAATTATTACAACATGAAAGATTATAACCTTTAATTTGAGGAGTTCTTACATACCGGGAAAGAGACTAAGTGATAGTCTAATACGCAAATCAATGATAAAGAGTTACACTGAAATCAGGATGCCAGTGGCCTAAGCAAAGATAAAACACTGTATGGAGCCCTTTAGCCTCAGTTGTTGCTTTGTTTTCCTTCTTTTCTTAGGTGAGCTCAAGTAGCCATTAAAAATCTTCTTTCCTCCCAAGCTGTTTCTCTTCAGAGATTCAGCAGTCAATGCAGAGGGCAGAATTAATCTGTTTGTAAAGTCTACAGCTTGTATCTCTGAACTGCAGAAGATGTCCTGAAGGAATGTTCTGCTCTCATTCAGTCCATAGCACTCATGTTGAAAGCTTTGCAGAATTAGTGTAGAGTAAGCAATCGATGCTTCTGACTTCTGAAGCCATAGAGCATCTCAGAAAAAAGCAGATTGCATAAATTAGTCTAACCTGATTGCTCGATCATAACATAGGGTGCCGATTTTTTTTGGACCTTAGTCTCAGAGCGAAACAGAGGTGCTTACTGTCTTCCCAGTTTCCAAACTATGCCTTGTCAAACTGTATGTTTGCATGTACTGAAATCAATCTTCTGTACAAGAGCAAAGTGCATAAGCAAACTTTTTTCTTACAAGGGTGTTTTTCTGTGGCTGCTATTAAAACAGTAATGTCTGGATTAACACATGCCATAGTCCCAAACAGGACAGGAAAAGGACTGAAAAATCCTGATGGAGTATAGAATTAGACTCCTCCTAGAAAAAGAAGGACTTTTTCTATCTATTTCTCAGTTGTGTTTCTGTGAAGGTTTCTGTAACCTGTCAGACACGTGTTATTTCCCTGAAGATACCACAACGGCAAAACTCCAGCCTCCTTAGTTAAAACAAAAGTGGGGCAAATTCTTGGTATTTTACTTCTTTGTGAATGAATTGCCATAGAATGATACAAGTTATTTAAAGTAAAGGCTACACAGGCTACTTCTTATAATTAGGAAAATAGTAGGTAAAATGCTTATATAATCTTTTGTGCTCAGAAAGACCACAAACTTACCTGAAATGTGTTAACTTGCAAATTTTGATCTGTTGGTTTCTTAGGTAAAAAGGAAATGGTTTTCAACAAGTACTAAATCAAAATCATGAGATAGATAACCTCAGAAAAATAGGATGTATATTTTGCATCAAGATCACTTGCTTGAAGTAAAATCTCTTACAGTTACCTAGGATTGGCGGCGAGGTGGGAGGTGGTTTTTTTTCTGTATTGTGTGCTCTGAAAGTAAGATTAATTTATAGACGGAGGGAAAGCCCACGAATCCTGTATATAGGACTGTAGCATCCAGCCTTTAGGCACCAGGAAAATGATGCAAAATAGCTGCAGCCTTTCTGATGAAAGCCTTCTCTTG